CCTGAGCTTCCTTCCAGTGTCCTTTGTCTCACTTAACAGTATCTCCATCCTTCCAGTTGCTTGGGTGAAAGCCCTTGCATCATCCTGACACCTCACTTTCCTCTCATACCATAACATGCAGTCTCAGCAAACACTTCCCACCCCATTTAGAATGAGATGTCCACCCCTTGCTGTGGCCCACATACCCCTACATGATCGGGTCCTTCTCTGCCTCACTAATCCCATCTCTTACCAACTTCATCTCCCACCCCAAACCCCTCATGCTGCTCCAGTACTCCCCAATCCCACCTGCTTGTTCTTCGATCACACCAAACATGTTCCCACCCCAGGGCCTTTGCACCTGCAGTTCCCTCTGCCTGGTGTTACCTTTCCCCACTCACTAGCCAGGCCTGCTCCCTCACTTCATTAAGTCCTGCTCAAATGTGACTTGGTCAGGAGGGCCTTCTCTGACCACCCTTGTCTAAAACCACCCTCTGCTCCCTCTCTGTTATCTTCCCCTGCTTGATTTTTATCCCTTGGCTCTTTGTGATCCTCCAACTAGAATGTAAGCTCCATAAGTTAAGGGATTTGGTTTTTTCACTGCTGTCATCCCCACCACCCAGGGTAGTGCATAGCACTCATATGTTGGGTCAAAGAATGAATCAATCTGATTATTTTACTCTCTCAGCTAAAAATCCTACAGTGCTCCCTCACATCTCTGTACCTTTGCCCGTGCTACTCCCTCTGCTTGGAAGGCCCTTCCTCCTCCTAGCCTGCCTGGAAAACTCTTACTCATCCTTCAAGACCTGACCCAACTGTCTTCACCTTTGTGAAGCCCCCATGCCCCCAGGTAGAGTTAGCCAGTTGTCCCTTGGTGACCCTGAAGCATCCTGTACATGCCTCAATTAATGCTTGACTCTATGTGATTTTCCTGAGGACAGATACCATGTCTTCTCATCCTGTTTCCCTAAGGCCTAGCTCAGCGCCTGCACAGTATTTGGTAAATGATTGCTGATTGAATGGGTAAATGAACCAGCAGATGAAGGATGGAAGTAGAAAGGAGGGAAAGAGGGAACCATCTCTTTCCCTGTAGATGTCCTCAGGATGCCCCTCACTGGGGATGTTCCTCTTTTCTCTAGACTGACCTCAACATCTTGTCCCCTCATCCATACTTTCTAGAAACAGGTGCTAACTTCTTGGTCACAAACTCCAAAATTAGTAGCCATGATCTGATTAGTTTAATCATGTGTTTTAGAGATAACAGGACTGAATTTTTTAAATCTATCACTTGTAAGCCCTTTGGCTGCTCAGGTTTCTGTTAAGGTGAATGGGACCAAGAATCAGACATATATTTACTAGAGGATATTTAGAAAATACTATACTGGCGAGTGCAGAGAAAACCCATCCATGATCCTACATCTTAGATGCTAAACACTGTTAATGTTTTGACATAATTTCCTCTGGTATGTACATGTCATCAATACACATGCATGTGTGTATATGAAACATAATATATAACTGTGCATATGTAAAATACATGAATGAAATCATGCTGCTCCTTCCATTTCATACCAGTGGATCTTCACACTGTAGCAGCCACCTGCCCACTGTCTTAATTCCATGAATGGCTGACAGTGGGGTGCCCACGCCAGACACCCTAGAAAGCTTGGCTCTGCTTAATCCCCCATGCTGCCCCCATCCACAAGCAGGTTCTCAGAAGTGCAGATGTGCCCAGCAGGCCAGGGTCCCCTATAGGTAAATAAGGCAATGGTGGCAGAACCAGGAGCTGGGGCAGCCCTCCCATCTATCCCCCAGATCCTGCCTGTGAGGGTCGGGAGCAGATGGGATACCGGTATCAGCTTTCTGGGGAGCTGAGACATGGTGATGGAGGGAGAAGACATTTCCACAGGGATAGAAACTGGGAGTCCTGCCTGGAGAAATCCACCCTGAACTGACCATCAGAACGTCCCTCTCCAGCAATGTTAGCTGCTGTCTTGCTTTTTTCCTGGGGGAAAGATATGCCTGGGACACCACCTTGCTTGGTTGAGAGACACTGACATTTTCTTCTCTGCATTAAAAAAAGCTAAATAAATAACAAAAGGCAAGCCTAATCATCTGTTTTCCTTGCCTCTCCGAAGGCAACCCCTTTTCCTAGAGTGAAATTATTGTAATAGAAAAGACAGTTAGTTTTGTGTGTTTTCCCCCCAATAAAGTAGAACCTGGAGGTAAGAACTTGATGGGTCACAAGGGGGCAGCAAAGTGTTCCTACTCCTAGAGGAAACCAAGAAAGCCTTTCCAGCCAGTGAGGAAAAATCAGTCTTAAGCCACATAGCAATAAGGGATCAGCCATTGAATTCACAAACAACTGGCCACCACCCACTCCAGCATCAATATTTGAAAAAGAAACAGGAGTTTAAATCTCAGCTTAGCCACTTAGTAAATGCCCTTGGGCCAGTTGCAATGTATTTGACCCTTAAGTCCCTCATCTGTAAACTAAGGATACTTGCTTCCCATTTTCACACCTTTCTCTTATGGTTGTCTTGATAATTGAGATAATTAAAGTAATAGGTTAAATGCTCAGCATATAGTAGACATTCATATGTTGAATATTAGTATTGGTATAAAAACAACCAAGGAAACTGACTGTTACTAAATGCCTATTATGTGCCAGGCACTTTGAACTCTTAGAGCAATCAAATGAGGACTGATAAGTTAAATGGGAGGTTGATTGACAGATGAGAGGTTAACTGACATAGCCACTGCCAAATAGCAACAAAAATAGCAGCTAATGCATAGCAAGCACTAACTATGTACCAGGCACTCCATGCTGTAAGCGCTTCACATGAATTATCTCATTTCTTATAGCAATCCTATGGAGTGGGTACTATTATTATGCCCATTTGACAGAAAGGGAAACCAAGGCACAACAAGTAACTGGCCCAGAGCCCCACCGTGAAGTCTAAGTATGGAGCTGGGGTTAGAGCTGAGGCAGTCTAGTTTCCAAGCCTGAGCTCTAACTTTCATTCCATCTGGTAGAGATGAGATATAAACCGAGGTTCAGCCCAAGCCTTTTCCACCATCCAGTGCTGCTTCCAAGTGAGCTTGCATCACAGCCTGCTCAGAATTCTCATGAAAAAACAAACCATCCCCGCTTCGACTCCACTACACCCCTTTCCAGCCACTGCTACTTCCCCTCTTTCCCATCATAATGCACTTTTTAGGTTATTTATACAAATGGTCCCCGACTTATGATGGTTCAACCTACGATTTTTTAAATTGACGATGGTATGAAAGCAATACACATGATAAATTACATGATATATTTGTGTCAGATGATTTTGCCCAACTATAGTAGGCTAGTTGTAAATGTCCCGAGAAAAATAAATTTTTTAAAATCCTCACCAGAGGATATTTTTTCCATCTATATTTTAGAGAGAGTGGAAGGGAGGGAGGAAGAGAGAGAGAGAAACATCGATGTGAGAGAGACACATGGATTGGTTGCCTCACACACGCGCCCAGACCAGGGTGGGGAATCTGCAACCAGGGGCCGACAATCTAACCACTGAGCCAAACTGGCTGCATGTGATTCTTCTTCTTTTTTTAAAAAAAATATATCTTTATTGATTTCAGAGACAGGAAGGGAGAGGGAGAGAGAGACAGAAGCATCAATAATGAAAGTCATTGATCGGCTGCCTCCTGCACACCCCCTACTGGGGATCGAGCCTGCAACCCAGGCATGTGCCCTGACCAGGGATCAAACTGCGATCTCCGGGATCCTAGGTTGACGCTGCTCAACCACTGAGCCACACCAGCCAGGCTATATGCAATTCTTAACTCTTGACTTCTATTAGACTGTGAGCTCCATGAGGGCTGGATGGTGTCAGCCCTTCTTTCAGCTGTGTCCTCAGTTCCCAGCACACTGCTGACTACATAGCGGCTTCTTGATAAATATCTGTAGAATGAAGGAATAAAAATGAATCTCTTTCTTTTTTAGGAACCTCTACCATAGCATCTACCACCTGGGATCCAAGCTATTTTGCGCTGTTTCTATCAGGAAGAAGAACTGAGTTGGTAAATGGAGTCACATATGGGGATCAAGGACTAAATACCAGTTAAATGTGTTACCTCTCCCGGGGGCATTTGCATTAGAGGAGTGGAAACAGTCCCCTTTTAGCCATGTAGGGAGATGGGAGCTACGTTGGAGATGGGGGACTCTTTCAGGTATGACTCAAATCATACCCCAGGTCCCCAGTCTACTTTATTTATTTATTTATTTATTTATTTATTTATTTATAAATATATCTTTATTGATTTCAGAGAGAGGAAAGGAGAGGGAGAGAGAGAGAGAG